TTACGCTGCCACTAGGTGTAAAATGTCTGGGAATTGAAAGCTCTTCGTGGCCACGGTTTTTTGGCCGTGAACGTTCTTTCCAGTTTCCGAAGGTCACGAGTTATGCCTAGGCACCGGGATTTATGGTGAATAGGATACACGAACTATGAATGAAAAGCTCTTCGTGGCCACATTATTTATTTAATGTGAACGTTCTTCTTGGTTCTTTGATAATGATGACGCATTATACTCATTCTTGTTTATTGTTTATTTTTTATCAAATTATCCAGGGACCGGTCGACAAAGGGATCGATATTCAATATAAGGATTGGATCCGAAGATATATAGGTATTATATCAATTATATATGTGAATCACATTAATTAATTAATTAATTAATTAAGTTAAACTTTTTTTTTTACAACGCATTTAAGCATTTAAAAAATCCACTACGTTGTCGGGTCTTGCTAAGGAAGAAAACTCGAAATTGCTGTCGTCAAGAAATTAAGGGATGCTGATATTGAACACGAACATACAGGGTGAGCATTGTTTCTCACTGAGTTATTTTGTTGAGTTGTTGTGTATCTGAAGTTACGCTGCCACTAGGTGTAAAATGTCTGGGAATTGAAAGCTCTTCGTGGCCACGGTTTTTTGGCCGTGAACGTTCTTTCCAGTTTCCGAAGGTCACGAGTTATGCCTAGGCACCGGGATTTATGGTGAATAGGATACACGAACTATGAATGAAAAGCTCTTCGTGGCCACATTATTTATTTAATGTGAACGTTCTTCTTGGTTCTTTGATAATGATGACGCATTATACTCATTCTAGTTTATCGTTAATCAATTATCCAGAGAACCGGTCGATAAAGGGATCGATATTTAATGTAAGAATTGGATCCGAAGATATATAGGTATTATATCAATTATATATGTGAATCACATTAATTAATTAATTAATTAAGTTAACCTTTTTTTTTTTACACATGCATTTAAGCATTTAAAAAATCCACTACGTTGTCGGGTCTTGCTAAGGAAGAAAAAAAACTCGAACTTGCAGTTGTTAGGAGGTTTAGAAAAGCTAAGGTTGAACACGAACATACAGGGCGAGTGTTTCTCACTGAGTTATTTTGTTGAGTTATTGTGTATCCGAAGTTACGCTGTCATTAGGTGTAAGATGTCTGGGAATTGAAAGCTCTTCGTGGCCACATTATTTAATGTGAACGTTCTTGATAATGATGACGCATTATACTCATTCTTGTTTATTGTTTATTGTTTATCAATTATCCAGAGAACCGGTCGACAAAGGGAGGAGTCATTTGCAAGATCTCATTTGTGATTCAATGTGAGAATTGGATCGGAAGAGATATAGGTATTATATCAATTATATATGTGAATTACATTAATTACCTTTTTTTTTTTTACAAATACATTTAAGAAATTCACTACGTTGTCAGATCTTTGATAAGGAAAAAAACTCGAACTTTCAGTTGTTAGGAGGTTGAAAGAAGCTAAGGTTGAACGCGAACATACAGGGTGTGTGTTTCTCACCGAGTTATTTTGTCGAGTTGTTGCGTATCAGAAGTTACGCTGCCATTAGGTGTAATATGTCTGGGAATTGAAAGCTCTTCGTGGCCACGGTTTGGTTCTTCTCAGTTTCCGATGTTCCTGAGTTATGCCTGGGCACTTGGAATTTATGGCGAATAGGATACACGAAAAGCTTCTTCGTGGCCACATTATTTAATGTGAACGTTCTTCTTGATAATGATTGTTTATTGTTTATCAATTACCCAGAGAACCGGGAGACAAGGGAATCGATATTAAATGAGTTGTTTTCGGTTTCCGGTTCGTGATTCAATGCATAGATTTATTAGATGTAGTCGTTGGTCGACTTAATAGATTTAAAAATTTCTTGTATATATTTTTTTTTATTTTCATTTTTTTTAACATATATATATTTCATCGTAAGTCTTATTAGTACCAATACTGAAAAGATTCTAGTAATAGTATGTTTTTGATCCCGTGTATAATGTACATAATGTGTAAAATACTTATTATAAAATAATATATAAAATGTATAAATTGTCTTTAACACTTATTTTGATCAAACCCGCCTATATAATTATTGAATAATTGATAAACATTCGTTTTGCAAGCTTCATAGATCTTGTCTAACACTTACTTCGATCAAACCCGCCTATATAATTATTATGTGTTATAAGTGTTAAAAGAAACTTCTGGTGTCCAAGTGAATGTTATACGCACTAATTAAAAAAAAAGAGAAAGGATTTGCACACTGACTGCTAACACTATATAGGCAAAATTAATTTTCTCATGACATCATTTTGAAATTTATTAGACTCTTAAAATTTATTAACCTATTCTTAAAAGGGTAGTATAAAAATATAATTCCCATTATAATTTAAAAAAAAATTTTTTTTTCAAAATAATTTTATAAAAATCTTTTTTAAAAAAATTTACTATTTTGCCAGCTGTTGCAGTTGTAAACAAATTAAGGGATGCAGGGATTGAGCATGAACATAATGGGCGAGTGTTTTTTACTGAGTTATTTGTCGAGTTCTTTGATGATGATGATGATGCATTATACTCATTATTGTTTATTGTTTATCAATTATACAGAGGGCCGGGAGATAACAGAATTGGTATTAAAGGAGTTGTCTGCGACATCTCATTTGTTGTACAATGCAAAAATTGGTTTTGAAGAGATATAGGTATTATATTAATTATATGTGAATCACATTAATTAAGATAACTTTTAATTAATTAATATCAAACATTTGCAGCTAGAGATGGGCAGATCAGTACTATACGTATAGTGCGTATAGTTCTAGAAAAATATAGTAGTAAATGTAAATCAATTCCTGTTTATATTGCCAAATAATATATGTAATATTGCACATAAAAATTAATTAATACTCTTCTCATGATTTATATATTTTAAACTTGGCTGCAATTTGGCAACATTTTAATATTAACGTTCTAGTTCAATATCTAGATGTGAAAAACATTTACGTTTTTGTCCAAATGCCACAATTTAAATCAAAAGAAATTATTTTGGAGAACATTTTAATACTTCAAATACTAGTAGTGTACAGATAAATTACAACATAATTGAAATTTCATCAAAGAAGCTGATGAAAATTTTATTGAAGAAGCAAATAAAAATGAAAGCAGTTTTGATTTTTATGATATTTAATTCATTCAATATAATTAATGATTCATAAATAAAACCTAAAAAAGTGTAGGTTGAATAAATTAAAGATTTATGCTTATCGTAAGAGCCAAATTATTTTTTTTTCTTATTATTTGAAAATCACCCAATCAAATTTCAACACTACTATACGCACTATACGCACTATACGTAAAGTATCGTATAGTATCGTATAGTGTTCAACTATATGCCATTTGCCCATCTCTAATCGCCCCAAACGTAGGACGGATTAATGAAAATAAAAAGAACTACGACCATATTCGTCAAATATAAATTGGGTAGTGGAAACTTTCAAAATAACTCCCGATGTATCATTTAATAGGTGAAATTGCATTTATATTCACATCGGATCTTAAAGATATGTACCATCTATTACAAGATCCTCAGCAAACCGTGAATTCATTGTAAAAATCCCCAAATGGGATTTTATAAAAAGATTCTTACAAGTTTCGTTGAATATAAATACGAAACATTTTTACAAATAAAAGGACTACCTATATGTAATTCAATTTCGCCCATCATAGCTAATTTAACATTAGCAATTATAGAATGCAACATCTGAATCAAATGACTGAAGAATCATAATATACAGATATTTGGATGCAATAACAAGCAGAATACTACTACACAACCCAATAGATATCTGGGATATGTATACTGAAAAATCCTATCTATGTGTGGAAATTTATGACGTAAATCTTATAAAAGAAGATAAATCACTAGAAATTTAAACAGGTAACGTTACAATACTGCAATATCTGGAAATTCGACTTTTTAGGTTTAAGTTTATCATGATAATCAAAGGACTTTACGCTTTGAAATTCTTAATAAACCTATGAACAAACATACATACACAGACTCCAGGTCATGAAATATATTTATCCGCATCTAATTCGTAACTGTGATAAAAAAACAGCATGTTAACAAAATTTTGAAAAGAAATATCCAGGATAAAAATCAAAGAACAATTATCGAAAACTAAATTTGAATGACGAAAATCATACTATTATATTGAATTTATTAATATATACATATAACAATATATATGATTCAAATTTAAAAGTGGCATTAGTCACTCGCAAAGGTATTAAACGTATTATTAAAGTAAGGGAAAATAACTAGGTCGTTAACAAGCACTTGAGATGTATTGCTCGGCAATTGTAGTACACAGCTGGCTGTATAAAATCCGCCCATTCACATTATTGATAAATAATATGCCAAAAGATATAAAAAAACCTTAGTAATAATATACACTAAAGTTAACGTTATAATAAACGATAATAGTTTTACATAATAAGGTCGGAGACTTTATTAAAAAGGAAATAGAATTCAACACATTCATCGAAATTTAAGTTAAATTAAAGTAACAAAACAGATCGAATTAAATTAATTATAATGCAAATTTAATTAATGTTTATCACACAATAATTTAAATTATTATAAAAAGACTGATAATTTCTTCATCTCGCTCATAACATTATCACTTTCATTTCCATTCCAGATTCATTGACTGGGCGGGCTGTTATAATTGTCTGAATGAACGCTTAAAATGTGATCGAAGCTATTTCCATCTTTCAGAATATCAGTAAAGTTTAAATCTGAATCATTGAATGAAAGCATCGTACACTTTTGGCAAAGCTACCATGACATAATTATCATAAATTAGTTTAAAAGTTTGTATTAAAATAAAGAATTCCGTTAGCAGTGAGTAAAGTTAGCAAACGTATAAATGACTAATTATCTATTATATTAATATAGAAAAACAAGAGATATGCTAGTTGTTGTTACTGTCACTATCTCTGAACAACCGTTGATGAAGGCTTGAGTACTCTCTGTATTCACAAATCGAATAGAATCTTTAACTATAGTCAGGCTTCTCTATATAATCACACTCTCAGAACCAGTCAAAGTACATGATTATTAGTGATGTTAGCCTGCTAAGGAATTTTTAAACAGCTTAGCCGGCTAAAAGAAAATTTCTCTTAATATTCATTTTTACATCTGGAATTTTAGTGCAGAATTCAGTGGCATAGACATTTATGGGTCACCTGTATTACTTAGAATGACAAAAAAACATACATTGGCTCAAAAAACAAAATACATCATAGCAGGATAAAAATTATAGAGTTTCTATTCTTAATACATATTCTTATTTTAATTCGAATTATTATTATTCGTTCTATTCGAATTATTCGTTCTATTCGAATTATTCGTTCTATTCCAATTATTCGTTCTATTCCAATTATTCGTTCTATTCGAATTATTCGTTCTATTCGAATTATTCGTTCTATTCCAATTATTCGTTCTATTCCAATTATTCGTTCTATTCGAATTATTCGTTCTATTCGAATTATTCGTTCTATTCCAATTATTCGTTCTATTCCAATTAT